GAAAGAGCACCGATGCCCTCCTGCTCCTGGCCAAGAACAAGAAGGATGAAAGCAACTGCCCAGCTCAAGAGACGGAGGAATTTGATGTTGGAAGGGAGCTGATCGCCAGCTGCTGGCATGGGCAGTCCCCATCCCTGCCGCAGCCCCGCCGACGAGTTCTTGCACTAATTGCAAGACACCAGCGATGCAGCTAAATTGATGGGAACCACAGCAGCAGTGCCCCGCTCCACCCATCCCAGCGCCACGCCAAACCTCGCGCTGCTCCACGTGCTGGGCTCCAGGAGCAGGAGCAAAGCCTCGCCGGATCGGTGCGGCGGCGCTGGCATCCCGCTGCTCCCCTCCTCATCCTCCGCAATACCCGCAGCTCCAACAAACAGTGCCACGCTATTTCCAGGGACGACGAAGAAGGCAAGCAAGAGGTTTGCCAAGATAAAGGGACGTTGTTAGGGTTCAGCATTAAACGCCGCACTCCCTCCTGCCGTGTCTCGCTTGCTCAATTTAAACCTGATGAGAGGTGGAAGGAAACATTTTCCCTGCTGGAAAAAATTGCCCATGGGAGGGTTAACGTGCATTTTAACATCTTCATTTTGAAAACAACTGAGCGGCGGCAGGAATCAGCCCTTCTCCCTCCTTACATCTCTGAAACGGAGATTATATAGGACACTGTGCCAGGCTATGGAGAGGACTCGGCGATTGCCACTATTTTTATACCTTTTATGCAAATTGCAACCAGCAGCCTCCTAATCGGCAGCTGAAGCAGCTGAGCGGGGTGCTAACTAACTCGGTTAAGCCTGAGCTGGTGCACCCTGGTCTGGGGTCCTCGGTCCAGCTGTGGCATTGCCTCGGTACCACCCTCCCGCACGGTTCCCCCGGCATCTCGCCCCCGGATCCCCGGCCCCGCAGGACCGTCAGCAGACAGCGACGTGTGCCGCACAGCAGCTTGCAGCCGCAGCGAGTGATGCTCGCCGAGGGCTGGCGCCGGTGAAATTTCAGCTCATTGCAGAGTCGGTGCTTCTGCAAAGAGCTGGGGGCTGCAAGGGGCGGGTTTGGGCTGCGTTAAGCCCCGGGCTGCAAACAGAACGTCCCGTGATGCCGCTAAAACAGCGTTTCGGGGAGGCTGGGTCTAATAGATGGCATTCTGTCACCAGCTCTGCTGCTCACCCAAGAAACACCAGGTTTCTGACGCCTCTTTGGGCTGTTTTCTCCTTTTTCTGCCCTGGAAACAGAAGCCTGGAGAGACTTGGGCTTGCAGCAAGCTCACGCAGAGATCATCTCCTTTCCCAGCCACCGCACCCTCCGCTCTCCCTGACCCCTCCAGGGCCCTTTTTTCTGCCTTTTCTTGGTTACATTTCTTTCTAAACCCGAAGCTATGTAGCCATCGCACACATCTGATCACGCCTGAGCCAGCCAAGACTCCGAGGCAGCAGCTATCGCAGCACGATGCCAGTGTCCAAAACCTTCAATCCTGCCCCAGGGTCTCACCGAACCAGCTGCTGCCCAAGTGCCAAGGCACCCGCCACCGTCCAGCAACCCCACCGCTCCCTGCGGGCGCTCCGGCACGGGGACGGAGCCGTCTCCAGCTGTGTTTATTCCCTATCCCCTTCCCACACCCCTCCCTCACCGTGTTTTCCCGTTCGTTCCGCCGCCGACATTCCCTCTGCCCCTCTCCTCCCGGGAAGGAGGGCAAAGCGCTCCATGCAAGCGATGCCCCGAAACCTGCGGTCCAGCAACCCCACCGCTCCCTGCGGGCGCTCCGGCACGGGGACGGAGCCGTCTCCAGCTGTGTTTATTCCCTATCCCCTTCCCACACCCCTCCCTCACCGTGTTTTCCCGTTCGTTCCGCCGCCGACATTCCCTCTGCCCCTCTCCTCCCGGGAAGGAGGGCAAAGCGCTCCATGCAAGCGATGCCCCGAAACCTGCGAAACCTGCGGGCACGATGGGGAGCCGGGAAACGATTAAACCCCATTAGTAAGAGCAAAGCAAACTTTCCCTCCGGTCGCCTTGGAATCTGGCTTTTGTTTTCTGTTCCTTTTCCAGGGGAAGCATTAACTCTGTGAAACCACAAGCGGACGCGGTGGCTTTTACCGGCTTTTGTTCCCAACGCAGCGTTATGACATGGAAAGATGCTTTTTTTTGTGCAAACCTGCCTGCCCAGAGAGCCCGGCGCTCCCTTCTTCATCATCTCAGCATGGAAGGCTTCTTAAAGAATTAAAGGAATAAGTGATGGAGGAATAAAATCAAGACAGCAGAGTATGTTTTGTCCTAATTCATTCATTCCAACACCGGTCACGACGAGAAGAAAGAGGAAAACCCGCAGATCTCCTCCAGGGCTGTTCCTCCCGACCGGTGAACCGGAGCAGATGGAGGAAAAAAAAAAACCCAGATACTTACTTGCTGGTTATATTTGTGACATCAGTAGATCTAAGCGACATTTGTGAACAAGTATTTTATCGCCCTAAAGAAAGAGACACGGAGAAATGAGTTGTCTTGGCTTTCTTTAAACAACTTCACTCCTGCAAGCGGTAAGAAATGGGTGATCACGATTTAAATGGTTTTCTCGCAGCGGAAGCTCCGAGTGCTCGGGTTTTTTTTGCCCAAATATCCATGACATGATCTCAGTTGCCATAGAAACAAGTCAGCTATCTCCCTGCCAAAAATGTTTCTGCCCAAATCAGAGATCGAGTGAAGAATTCAACGCTGGGAGATTAAATTAGTTCAAGCAATCCCGTTATTTGTGCACTTGCCTTGAAGCAAGGCGCTGTTTTATTTAGGCTCCTGCCAGATTTTAACAAAAAGCCATGAAGGAAAATGCTAATACACTGCTAAAGAGATAAATAGAGTTTTTTCAGGCCATAAAATTGACAGGGAGAACAACAGGGACCCACTGTACTAAAGCTGCTCTCGCTCCCCCCGCTGCTCCCCCTCTGAGCAGGATCAAGGCCAATACAATGAATCGAAGGGATACAAACCCAGCGGCCTTGGTTTTGTTTTGCAAAAGTGGTTTGACTTCCCACGCCTGGGAAAACCGTCCGCTCCGTTCCCCTCTCCCCTTCTCCATCCCTTTACCTACACGGCACCTGCCCATCCCCTGCCGTGCCGCAGACCGACCCGCCGAGACCTCCGTCCTCCGAGCCTAAAACTCCTCCTGCTGCTCCCTAATTCCAGGATATTCTCTTTTAGGAGCTGCCAAGCTCAGAAGAGGGAAACGAGAGAGAAGTTTGGACACCACTGAAGCAGCAAACAAGCGTCCAGGCTCCATTTGTACCAAGGTCCCAAAATCAACCCAGTTTTCAGCAAGCGGGCACGAAGCAGCTGATGTCCTGTCCTCCGAGCCTAAAACTCCTCCTGCTGCTCCCTAATTCCAGGATATTCTCTTTTAGGAGCTGCCAAGCTCAGAAGAGGGAAACGAGAGAGAAGTTTGGACACCACTGAAGCAGCAAACAAGCGTCCAGGCTCCATTTGTACCAAGGTCCCAAAATCAACCCAGTTTTCAGCAAGCGGGCACGAAGCAGCTGATGTCCTGGCGCTGGGCTGGGGGAAAGCACTTGAACTCCCCAGGCTGCAAATTTATCTGCAGAACAATGACATCCACTTGCCTCACGTCCCCCCATGAAGACACCCCACCAAGCTGGGTGATCGCTTGATTTATTGTCTTTAAAAAAGTTCAATTTTCATTTCTGTTTGTACAGGGCTCCTTTCCTCACCCTAAACAGACATTTTCCCAGTTGCAAGCAGGCGCAGAAATTAGGGCTTGCCCAAAATAGGGTTAGCAGATAACATCACCAAAAAAAAAAAATAAAGTGTTTGCGCAGCGGCTGCAATAACCAGGAGAACTCCCGTGGCCATCGCACGTCCTGAACACAAGCCCACTGGGCTCGCCCGCGGGATGCGACGGGAGGTCTGCAGGGTTTGCGCTCAGCAGAGCGACCGGCTGGGACACGAGCCTGAGCTCAGCGTCAGCAGCTATGATTAACGCAGAGTCACGCATCCCCGTGACTCACTCGGCTAATCCTCCGCCTGGCCCCCAGCACAGCGCCCGCTCTGAGCTCTGGTTATTCCAGGAAATCCAGCAGGTAAAGGCATCAGGCTCCCCAGCAGCTATTGTTTATAAAAGAGCCCAAAAATAGGCTGCTGGGGCTGGCATCCCCCCAGGATTTCCTGCTGGAAGAAAGGAGCCTGCCTCCCCCTCTGAAAAACGCGATGGAGATGTTCTGGAGGCTCGAGGGTTGGGTTCTCCTGGATCTCACCGGCATCCCGCTGCCACCGCGGCGTTCACCAACGGGCAGAGCTCGCCGTCCCTGCAGAGACACGGGAACGCGTATGGAAACGCGAAAGCAAAGCTCCCGAACCGGTGTCTGCAAGAAGCTGCCCCAGCAGGATTCTGCACAGAGATTTCGACCTGCTGGCGTTTGGAAGAGCCGGGAGAAAGGAGAGGGGTGAACACGCAGCTCTGCAGCCACGGGGACGCTATCCGCATCAGGAGGGTTGTGCACAAAAAAGTCTATTTTTGTCCTTTGACATGAGAGCTTGCATCACGCCAAGGCTGATGGCTTCTGACCCTCAATTCCTCTGGAGTTGCACATGTTTTTCCAAAACCTACTGGGGAAAAAAAAAAATCTCACCAGTCTATTTAATTTGATGACTCTAAGGGGGCAGCGCAGTCTTGTTCCCGTTTCTCTACCGGTCAAACCCGTTGGATTTATGGGAACCAAGGAAAGGCGCCGCGCAGGACTGGGCGCAGGACGTTCGGATAGAATCCTGATGAACCCAAGTCGGTCGTTTCCTGGGGTCACAGCCACCAGCACAAACCTACAGACTAGCACAGGACTTGTTCTAAAAAAATCTGTGAAGCTCCATGGTCCTTCCTAGTCCTGGAAAACAGAAATCAGGGAAAACTCGAGCGAAGCAGATGAGAACACGCTAACCCAGAGCACATTGCTGGGGGAAACTGCAGAGATAGGCACAGGAATCATTTTCTGTCCCAAATCCCTGCAGATGTGTCCTGGCCCATACAGGGTCAAGTGATGGGGTTCTTTTCTTTCCAGAAGGAAATATGGATCTGCTTATTTCCAAAAGGAAATATGCATCTTCCCCTAAGTTGGTTTCTAAAGGTTTTACCTCCGAGGATAGCACGCGGACGCGCCACGGCCTCCTCCCATCACCCGGCGCTGGATGCGGTCGGGAGGGAGGACAGACCGCCGGAGGAACTGGGTAAGAAGCTCCCAGATCCCCCAAACCCAGCGAGAATCTGCAGAAACCAGGTCAGCCATCTGCCCGGAGGAAACGGCGCCTTTTCTGCCAAGAGAGACGCGAGCGTAGGGAACGTGGCCCCTCCAGACCAGGCAGGAATAAATCATCTCGTCATTAAATCAGGAGAGGAAACAGAAGCCAGCTCGGAACTATGCAAAGGGCTGAGTAAGAGACAAGCAATGTGCTCGGGGGGGTTCAACCGGAGCGTGGAGTCTCCGTGCTGGCTCTGCACAGCTCTGGGCAGACGGGGAAGGAGAGGATCTCCTCCTGGCACGAGGTGGAGCATCCAACCCTTCCAATGATAAAATCTTCCTGGGATTGAGCTTTTCCTGGGCAAGGAAAGGGCAGCTCAAAGGAGAGCCCGTGTGTTGTGCAAACAGGAGGGTGGCCAAGTCAACCCCCATCCGAAGGCGGCAACGAGCAGCCTGCGGCTCTTCAGGGCGGAGCAGAGGCTGGCGAAGGGATTAAACCAAGCAGCCGGTTCGAATGAGCTCCGTTAGAAACGCAATCAGTCCAATTTCTCGTTGCCACAATTAACAGGAATGAATAACCACGCACTCCTGCTGGCAGGCGCCTGGAAAGCTCAGCATCAGCCGGCGAGGAAGGCTGAAATGTGTCCTCGCATCAGACCGGAGGCTGCGAGCATCCATCAGCAGTAATGGAGGCTCACGCCGCAGCAGAAGCCAAGCAAACCGATGCCTGGGATCAAGCCTAAAGTCATATGAAGAGCTATTAAAAAAATAAGCTTTTGGGGTGGGTCTGGAAACGGCCGTGCACTTCTGCCTCTCTGAATCATGGATGAAGATGAAGATGATTAAGATGAAGATGAAAATGAAGATGAAAATGAAGAGCGGCATACCTGCAGTGGTTTATTGATTTGGGTCCTGCAAGAACGTCACCTTGTCACCCCAAACTCCCAACTAGCAGGAGCTCTCTGCTGACCTGGATCTGAAATTGCCCAAACCTTCAGAGCGCTGCACGGTCCCCTCTCTGCGCCCTGCGCCCTCTCCCAAGCCAAACACCCAAATGGGAGCGCTGCGTCCCTCCCCGTGTGCACCCGTTCACATCCACCCTCCACCGGCCCACGCAGACCCAAGCGACGGTTTCTTGTCACCGCTGGCATTCAGATAACCGTCATGGACTCAGCTCAGCATCTTCAAAGCACTTTAGATCACGAGGGACGCGGAAGATGCCTGGGAGCACAAGAAATCACGGGGCTTGGAAGCCAGAGTCTTCCACTTTTTGTACCACATGATACCGACGGAGTCAGATAAAAACTCCCAGCGTCAGTCCGCTGACGAGCTGGGCTGGGAAAAAACATCCTCACCACTGAATCCTTTGTAAGCATGGAAACATTTCCCCCTTGCAGCAATGTCACTGTCACCTCTTTTCCCCTAAGAAATGAGCATCCCCAGCTGCTGCAGGTGCAACAAGGTGCTGAACGTTGCGCGGTGGAAAAAATCCACCTGCAGGGGCCATTGCACAAAAGCGCCTGCCAGGAGGCACCGCTTCCCCTTGCTCCTGCCGCTGCCACCGCTCTGGAAAGGGACAGCACCCACTGGGGACAAAGGGGTCAGGAAACAAATCATAGAATCATCAAATCAT